AATCAATCAAATATGGATTATCAATAATTTCTTATATTTTTTTCAAAATTTAAATATTTATCCAATCAAAACTGATTTCCAAAATAACTATAAAATAATTAAAATTATATTAAAATTATATAAATAATAAAAATAAGAATAATAAAATAATATATACAATATATATTCTTTGATAATCTTTGGAAGCTGAAATATTCTTTTAGCTTATAAATTTTTGAAATAAAATTAGTATCATTAATAATTGGAAGTTCTATTTGGATGTGTTTTTCTGTGAGGAATTTTTTGAGTTCAATAAAATTAAAAAGTTAAGGCTTGATAGAAATTTGAATTCAGCTGTCAAGGATCCTTGAGAACTGATAAAATTAATAAGCTTTAATGATATTAAGATAAATGTCAATTTTTTTGATAATTGGAAAATTGGTTCCTACTTTTTTATTTACTTCGTGATAGTTAGTTGGAAGTGAAGGTTTGTTTAAAAGAGTGGATTTTTCATTGTTATCTGTATTGTCAGTTTGGTTTTGAATTGAAATTAAAGTTTGATATAGAGGGAAATTGATCAAATCCTTAAAGAAGGGACCAGTGAAGATATATTTTTTGGCTAGTATTTTGAAAAAAATAGGAATATTATTGGGGTTTGTTATTGGAAGGAGAATATTTGTTTCAAATAAGGCTTTGGAAGAGGATGAAAGAAGTTTTGCTTTAATAAAGAAAAAGTAATTGGGTAGAAATTTGAAATAATAAGTTTTTCTAAGTAAGGTTATGATTTTTTGTAAGGTAAAGTTGTTGTCTCTTGGATTAAAGAGAAAAATATACTTATATTTGGAGTCTAAGAGTTGATATGTTGTTAGGAGTGACTTTTTTGGTAATAGAAGATCAAAGTAAGTGTTAGGTAGTTTGAATGGAACTTTGTATTCTTCACTTAAGAGATTTTTATAATTGAAGAAATTGTTAAGATCACTTTTCTTTTTGATAGAAAAGATATTTTTGTATTTGGTTAATAGGTCATTTGGATTTTCTGGGAGAGGAGAGTTTTCTTTGAAGTAGGTATTAGAAAGTTTGTCAAATTTATAGTAAAAGCCTAAAATCTGAAGAGTTGTAATTAAGTTGACCTTGTTTGGCATTGAAAGTTTTGTGAAAAGTTTGATTTTAATTTGAAAAGGAATTTTAATTGATTCAGATGAAAGGTTGGAAAGAGAATCAATGAAGTGTTTTTTGAGTTCTTCTCTAATAGAGATATAATTGAAAATGAAAGTTGATTTTTTAATAAGATAATTAATAAGGTAAGTAAGAAGACTTGCTAGTTTGTAGTAGGGCATATTTTTAATATCAATAGTATGTAAGTATATGATTAATAAGATAATGCAAATTATAGTGCAGATTTTTTTTTTGGTTTCAAAGTTAATAAAGTGTAGATTGTTCTCTCCTTTGTATTTGTTCTGAAAGTCTTTTTTGATTTCAATAAATTCTTTTGGTAAGCTGATATGAGATCTTCTTTTTAAGTGAAAGAGTTAAAGAATATATAGTCTTTGAAACTGATTTTGTTCATTATTGCTTTTAGGTAGTAAGGTGAATATTTGAGAAGTTTAATGATAGTGTCAATAGTTTGAATAATGACTTGTATATTATTTGATGTTCGAAGGAAATTGTTGACTAGTTTTTTAATATCAGCTCTAAGTGTCTCATAATGTTTAATATCTCTGATTTCTTGGAGTTTTGTTTGGACTTGTTGTTTGAATGAGAATAATTATGCATATGGAGTATTTTTTGATTAAGTAGAATTTTTGACAAGTTCATTGAGATCAACAATATCATCAATTATCATTAGATTTAATTGGCTTGTGGGAAGGATTTCACTGATTTCTATGTTAAAGCTGAATGTTGTCATGTGATTGTCAGAAGTAGTAATTGAAGTAATATTTATTTGATTGATTTGTTTGGGTTTAACAAGATTCAGGTCAGATAATTTCATTAATATATCCATTGTTATGCTAATTTCTGTGAAGTTACTAGATTGAATAAAGGTTGAAGTGATGGTTAAAAGGCTTGCATGTGCATGCATTATGGTTGTTTGATCAACATTCCTTTTTTGAGAGACAAAAGAAATAATTGACGGATGATTATTTTAGGGATAAGTTGGTTAGGGTTTTTGATTATTCTTTGAGAAATAGAGAGAAATTCTTGGAGATGATTGTAGAGTTCAGTGTTTAGTTGAGTTTTTTTTATTTTTTTTACAATATTACTAATGTATTAGAAGTCAAGTGATATGTTTCTAGTGTTGAAGAGAGAAATACGAGTTTGGAGAAGTCTATTTTGATTCCCTCTTTTGCTGGTATGTATTATAAAGTTGAGAATGCAAATGTCATTTGTAGAGTCTGTTTTCATAATTTCTTCAATGTTTTTTCCTTCTCTTACAATAAGGAATTGGTTGGGAAGTTTGTCAGGTTAGGAATAAGAAGGTTTCTTGCAAATTCTATTTTGATAATTTTGTTATCACTGAGGTTGAGGTAGAAAATTTGGAAGAGTTGGTTTCAATTCTGGTGAATTGTTGCATGTAAGAATTGTTTTTTATTGTTGTTGATTGTGGGTGCTCCATGATAGGAGTTATTTAGTGATTGCAAGTACTTGGAAGTGCTTGGGAAGTAAAAGTTTTTTGAAAGGACTATTACTAAATAAGGAAATTTTCAAGTAAAAAATGATTTATGGGAAAGAGTTTTTTTTTTCTGAAATAATATTATTAAAAATTCTATTTATATAATCAATTATATAAATTATTAAAAATGCTATTTGATAAAAAAAAGTTTTCAAGAAAATCTTTGTAAAATATAAATAGTTTTTTGATATATCTGTTATTAATAGGATTCTGAATCAAGTATTAAAATAATATCAACTTGATACTAATTTATAATAAATTCAATATATAAGTTATGACTTATTTTATTAAACTTATAATAAATCTAATACTAATTTAATCTTAAAATAATACTATTAAAAATTCTAATTATTAGTTATAAGATTATAAATAATAAAAATTAATTTTGAAAAAAAGAAGAACATACTTGTAACAATATTTATAGTAAAATAAGTGATATTAAGTAGATTACACAGGTGGCACAAACAATTCAATAGAAAAAGCAAGGTAACTGAAATATTATGTTTTTTTCTATTTCTTTTTAAAATATTTAAAACTTGAAATATCAAAGAAATTATATTTCTATAAGATATCTGAATAAATATTTTATTCTGTAATTATTAGAATCTGAGTTAAATAAGTTAAGATCATTGATATCTGATAAAATATCAATAAATTTTATAGTGTTTATTTTATTTGACTAATATAGATTATAGAATGAGTTTCATATATATATATATATATATATATTATTTTTATTTTTTCTTTTTATTTTCTTTTGTATTTTATTTAATTAATTAAGTATATATGATCTCTAGAGAACCAATAAGATTATATATATTTTTTTAATTATATTTATTTATATTAGGAAAATATATATATAAGAAAACACTTTTTCTTTTGGAAAATAACAAAATTGTTTTGTTTCTTTTATATTTAATAAAGTTTTCCTTTATTAATTATAAACAAATAGTTTGTTTATGATTTCTTAATATGAAATATTATATATTGTAATATGGAATATTATAATATTACTATTAAAATTATTGTTTTATAAAATAATAACAATTATTATAATGAGATTATTGAAATACTTATATATAAAATTTCTAGTTACTTTAATATCATGTAATTGATATATAGGTATAAATATAGAAAATAAGATATATGAATAGCAATTTTCTTTAATATATGCTAAACAAAATTTATTAATATCAAATTACTTATTAAAACAATAGTTATAAAAATTGAATAAGTATTAAAATTTTAATAAAATAATTAAAAAATTTTTATTCAAAAAAAAATCATTAAATATAATAATAAATGTTTGTTTAAATTTAATAAAAATTTTATTATAAATAGAATTTATTATAAGGAACAAGTTTACTTAATATATAAAAATTAGTTTTTTTCAAGGAAATTTTTATATTTCTTTTTTTTTTTTTTTATCGCAAACAAGCATTAAATGCGAGACTTTATTTAAATAAAGATATTTACTGTTATTACATTAACAATCTTTACATAGTAAATTAATTGTAACCTATTGCAACAAAACTATTGAAACCAGGTACCACTGTGGAAGTAAGCTTGTAACAATAGTATATAAAAATTAGTTTTTATTGATAAAATAAAAGGTTTAATATATAAAAATTATTTTTGATTAATTATACCAATTTTTAAATAATTCATTTATTGAAAGAAACTTTATATATTTGTTTAATTATAAAAAAAAAAACAAATAATAAATTTTTTTATTTTAAAAAAATTAATTATATAAAAAAAAAATAAAAATACTTAATCAAAATTTATATATAAATAAGTATATATGAATTTATAAAAAAAATTTTAAACTTAAAAGTATTTAGATTTAAAAATAAATTTTGTTATAAATTTTATAAAGATTAATTATAAAAATTACAATAAAATATTTTTTTTATTGTTAAAAAACAGGTACAGTATTTCTAAATTTCTAAATTATTTAAATAATAATCTGTTTATTTATAACAAAAGAATAACATTACATGCGTATACTGTATATTTAAAAAAAAGTATCACAAGAAAATGATATTATATATTTTTATTATACTGTACATGTACTGTATATAGCTAAATTATGAAAATAGTATTTGATATTTAAATTAAACTTTTAGGTTTTTTAAATTCGATAAGCAATGAAAAATCCTTGTTGCAACAGGTTATAATTCCCTTAAAAAATATCGAATGCAAAGTTTTCCTGATTTCATCAAGTTCCAGAAATAATCCGGTTATAACTATTTGTTAAAAGAACGAAATTTTGTAATTGAGAATTTCGAGAAATTTAATCGATAAAATTATTGTCGATCAGGGTTTTCATCTTTATTTTTTAGTCGTGATGTCTCAACATGATTTTGATGATTTAATACTTTTGGAAGCGACTCCAGAACAAGCCATCATGTAGGTTTCTCTCGACCATAAATCGCAAACAATTAATTAATACGCTAATGTTTTTATTATGTTTTATAAAAGAACCAACAAAAATTCTTACATAGAATGGGGTCATCCTCAAATAACTTTGGAACAATACCTTGAGCGCGAGAAGCTCCTTGCAAATCTGGAATTCACGGGTTCAAATTTCAATGTTTGGGTTCTTGTGTCAAGAAAGGAACAACAAGAACTTCAGGGAAAAGGGAGCACGCCCGTAAACAATAAATTGACCATCCTTTCGGCGTGTGAATCTTTTAAAAGAAAAGCGCTGATTGTGGATAAACCAGGAGAAGTTATAGAAAGAATATGCTATGGTATAGCATCAGTATTTACACCACCACATCTGAGAAACAGGGGTTATGCTTCGTCAATGCTAAAATTGCTAACCGACGTTTTGGTAAAAGAATTTAAAGCGGATTTTTCGTTTCTTTTTAGTGATATCGGACCGAATTTTTATCAAAAAATTGGCTGGAATGTTTTTGATCATAAGGAGATTGTATTTAATACAGATCGTAATGATATTATAGAAGAATCAGGAGATTCAGAATGGAGAAAGGGTATATCCGTCAATCTAATTGGTGAAAGTGATTTAGAACGGATAACCCGGTATGACTGTGAACTTGTTCGTCAAGAACTTTCAAAAGTGGACTTCAGAGCTTTAGTAGTATTTCCAGAAAAACCTTCTTACGCGTGGATGTTTGAAAGAAGTAAATTTTATGCAAGGGTTATTATAAATGCCGAAATTACAATCTTCGGCGCAGAGGTAATTAGAACGATTGATGAAAATTGCGAATCTGGAAGTAGTGTTAGGAGGGAACAATCGGTTGGGTTTATTATTTGGTATCATGATTTTAAAGAACAAAAACTAGTTGCCCTTAGGTTAAGAAGCTCTAACCAGCAAACCACAAAATTATTAATCGAACAAGCCAGACGAGAAGCACGTAGATATAACCTGAAACAGGTTATTTTCTGGAACCCGGATATGACATTATTCTCTGGGGAAGATGGAGAATTGGTGGAGCGAAAAGATTCCTTGCCTAGTTTAGCATGGTATAGAGATCAGGATTTTAAATTGAGGTGGTTATTGTTAGAGAAGTATACTTGGTGTTGAATAGTTGTTAACCTCATGAATCTCGTACTTTAAAATATTTACGTAAAAACTCTAGTCGCATTTTTAATAGTAAATTTTGTTAATAATTTCGGTGACTAATAAATTTTTTGATTTTCTTTGCTGAAAATCAAACATTAAATTCCGCTGTAGCTAATTTACATTTGTGAAAATAAATTTTCACGAAAACAAATATACAGTGGTAGTTATTGTTCATGCCCTGTCGTACCTTGATGATCTTCGTGTGTATTTTAAAAGTGTGTAGTCGAGGCTGTTACACCGTCTGTACATTTATAAGCTTAAACCTCCATTTTTGAATTTCATTCTTGGAAAAGGGATTGTTTTCTATGATGTTTCTTGGAAGGTTCGCATCGAGTAAAAATTAACATTTATATTATGGATTATGGAATAACCTAATTGTGATTTTTTTTGTTTCGTCAGAACTCTTAGGATTTTGCGTCCTCACAAATTTTGGGCTCGTCAATATACCACAGGTTTTTCATCATGATCTGTATAGCCTCCTCGTAGTGTAGCGATTCGAATTTGAATTATTCTTTGATAAATTAGTTACGAATCGTGTTTCTTGCGACGAAAAGGAACCTTCATTTTTGGACTCTGTCCAAACTTATTTCGAAAAGGCAAGGGATTTTTGAATTCGTCGATTTTTCACAGAAAAACAAGTTAGATTGAACGAAAAGTGTTTCTTTTTCGGTTAACACCTAGGCGGCAAAGCTTAGTAATGTATCGCCGAAAACCTTAGCCCATCTCAAAGCTCCTGATTGTACGCTCGAAGTCACCTTTCCAATTGAGGTAAGATAGTACTGTATTTTGTAGATTGCTTATGATCGACAATTAATTCGCAAATGAATTGTTTAGGTTGGTGAAGATAGAGTTGAAGTTCTTACGGGTTATAGGGTTCATCATTCTCGTCATTTGCTACCGGTAAAAGGTGGAATCCGGTAAGAGATCATTATATTCCAGTCAGCATTTCAATTATTCACTCGGAAAGCTAATCTATTTTGTTGGGTATAGATTTTCGCCTGAGGTTGAAGAGCAAGAAGTGGCAGCATTAGCCGCTCTCATGACTTACAAGTGTGCTGTTGTAGATGTTCCGGTAATCATTTTTAATTAAACAATTGCAAACGTCTCACTTAATAACTCATTTTAATCTTCATAATTAAAGTTTGGTGGTGCGAAAGGTGGTATTGCTTTGGACCCTACTAAATTCACCGAAAATCAGCTGGAAAGAATCACACGACGTTACACCATGGAATTATGTCAAAGGGTAAAAAAAGTAAACCAAGGCTTCATTTCCATTTTCACTTGTAATAACATCAATTCGATTAATTCAACAAGGCATTTATTGGTCCTGGAGTTGACGTGCCTGCACCCGATGTAGGAACTGGTGCTCGCGAAATGTCATGGATTATGGACACCTATAGACAATTTCATCCCAATGATGTAGACTCCATCGGGTGTGTTACCGGTAAACCGATATATCTGGGAGGTGTCAGAGGGAGGAACGAGGCCACCGGACTGGGCGTTTATTATGGTATACGAGAGTTTCTTTCATACCCAGAAGTTCAAAAATCCACAGGGTTAAGAGGAAGTATCAAAGACGTGAGCTTTATTATACAAGGATTTGGTAAAGTGGGTTACTGGGCCGCAAAATTTTTTGCCGATAATGGGTAAATGATCGTGTAAATAGTATTTGCAAGATACAAACAATATGCAATTCATATACATCAAACTTGATTTTTTAACTGTAGTGCCCGGGTGATTGGGATCGGTGAAAAAGATTGTGGCGTATATAATGTTAATGGATTAAAAATAGACGAGTTGTTCGATTATTATAAGAACAATGGTTCATTCCGAGGTTTTCCAAATGCCGAAATTATAGAAGATCCGTTAAAGGTTATAAATTCTACTTTGTCAAAGCTCGTTTTCTCTAGAAATTTCGCATTACATATAAATGCTATTAAAAAATATAATGATCGAACCATCTTTACCACTCTAATTATTTTTGAAATTTCTCGATCACTACTCAACAAATAATTCATCCCATTCTATACTATATGCATCAGATTCTCGAATTGGAATGCGACGTTCTGATTCCGGCTGCGCTTGAACGTCAAATCGGACTTAAAAATGTCAATCAAATTAAAGCCAAAGTTATTGGCGAGGCCGCCAATGGTCCTGTGACCCCAGGAGCTGATGAAATTTTGCTAAGCAAAGGGATTTGTATTATACCAGACTTGTTATTAAACGCCGGGGGCGTTACAGTGAGTAGATTATTAGATCGCGCTTTGAGATCTTAAGTTAAACATCCTCACGCCTAAATGAATGTTCAGGTTTCATACTTTGAATGGTTAAAAAATTTGTCGCACATGAGATTTGGAAGAATGACCAAAAAATGGGATGAACTTGGTAAAACGAAACTAGTGGAATTAATAGAAACCATAATTGGGCAAAAAGTATCAGATAAAGAAAGAAGGCAGATTGTGCTTGGAGCGGAAGAAACAGATTTGGTATATTCAGGATTAGAAGACACCATGATCGGCGCGTGTCAAGAGACCAGAATTACCGCTCTCAGAAAAGTAGGTTTATTATTATTTTTTTTTATGATGATCATACAAATAACTCACCTATCTTTTTGTGATCAAACAGGGCACGGATTATCGAACTGCGGCATTCGTTAACGCCATAGAAAAAATTGCCACGGCCTATGAAGGATCAGGAATGATGTTGATGAACTAGTTTGTTTTTCCTAAGATTATGTATTTGGGAATTATGTATTATATTTTTATTTATTCACACGATGCTGGGATTAAAGGCCTACCGGGTGTTATGATAAATAAACTTGGATAATGTCCGATGAATATATTCACAAAAACATATAGAATCCAATTCATTTAACATCCGGCATGTTCGTGACGTGATATACTTTGTCAAATGACCTTTTGTAACACAACGTTTTGCATGTAATATATACTGTGTGATGCATGACGCACATCTAGATCCTAGATCGGAGACATTTGATTCTTTCTCATCTACAAACGATTTCGCGCGGTTTCAATGGCAAACAACTCGAAGCCCTCACGGATTGTGAATCCTTTTGCCTTGGCTGGTAATTTTAGCCCCAATCAGACCTTGAATCGACTTTTGAAATTTCTGAATTCGGTGCCAGGGACTGACAAGGTTTTAATGGTATGATCTTCACGATGATTTGTATCCGGCTGTTATTGTTCGGGAGGGAGATAAGCGATTTCGTCAGTTCAAAGAATTTTCTAATTGTTTGTTACTTTGCATGAGCAGTTTGTTCAGTATTTTTCGAAAATTATCATTTGGTTTCTCAGTCGTGTTGGAAAAGAGTCTTTGGCCGGACGTATCGCCAATATTAGCTCCCCCGTCGGTGATTTCAGGATTCTCCTTCGGTGAGTCTTCGGCGAATTAAGAACTTAACAACAATTTTTATTAACCTTCCGGGCATACATCTTCTTTTTAAATCGTTAATTATATCCTTCCCTGATGAAGCTATTACGGACTGCTCTCTCTGGTTCAATGGATGATTCATATTGAACATCATCCACCGGCAACATCTCTTCTTCTTAACATTGAACGTATCCAGAATCTCACCATGGTTCTTTATTATCCACTCGAGCACATTTATTGGCTTGCAGCTCACAAGGTTATTAACATCTCGGAGTCACGAATGAATAGAATTGGAATCTGGAGCTGTCGTTTTTGGGCGGCCTACGTACTACTTCAATTTTGGCATCTCGCAGCGGAATGGAAGTTGCTCAAGAAAAGACGGCGAGATATGATCAAAAAAGTGCGTAAAGGAGAAGAAGAAGTCAAAGAAGAAAAAAGGGAACTGAGAAACGAAGTCGAAAGGATTTGGAGAGAATCAATCATCAACGTTGGATATCTGCCTTTGACAGTAAGAAATCACTCATTTCTTAATAATTAAGTTGGAAGCGAAAAGAATGGTCTCACATGATGTCATTTCTTCGGGGACTTTAGGTACATTGGTCAATCGAGAATTCATCATTTCCAGATGTTGGTGTGGGTATATTCGGTACGATAGCTGCTTTCTATCAATTACGTGGGGCGTGGAAAGGTACTACCGAGTGAAGGTTAAGCGGAATAACCAGTAATATTTCATCAGCAAGGGATGCACCTGTCTTGTGGTAAGGTAGGATCATGATCTGATATTAATACAGGCATTACGCTATTATATAAATGTATTGTACTTAAAATTTTGGTAAGTTATAAAATAAAGATTAGAACGGTTTAGATCAAATGACACTACAAAGCGAGTTCGCATATAATACACGATTTCATTTTTAAAGATAAACCTCTTGACTCGTAGATTTCGAACACAGCACAAATATCGAAAGTGCGCAATTTCTTTATACATTGGTTCTATCGTATCATTTACATATATGTAATGGTTAAATTAATTTTATTTCGTTATCCAGAAAGTACATTGTACATATGCATGAATAATTAATCGTCCTTGCAGAGAGGAGAAAAATTAAAAAAAATTAATCTTCACTGTCCTTCGATTACACATTTTAAACTGTGAAAGATGCACTAATCTCCTTATTTTATAATTCCGCTGCATCGTCGTCGCTCACCCTAATATGCTCAAATTTTAGTTCAATATGACTTATTGCTTTCCCTGAAGATTCGCGTGTCACATCGGCAACTCTTATCCCGGTCAACTTAAACTCGCCACCTCCGATCGATCCACACTTGATCACCTCAGCATTTTCGTGCTTCTTTCCCATTATGCCCGTGCTGTTTCCATCCGAAAAAAAGAATTCAATTCCACATATAACGTGGGAGTGGTAGTACAAGTCCACGGCTATGATATGATTACACACTTCGTTTAATCCGCGTATGGTAACAAACTCGCCTTCCTTCGGGTTTCCTTTCTGTGTGCCTATGCGAATACGCCTCTTATGATCCGTCTGATAGATGACTCGCAATCCGTGCAGAACCTCCCCATAGTTAATATTTACACCGATGATAACACCTGGTTCATCATCACAAAGCACCGATTTATCCTCACAATCCTCTAGGCTATGCAATCCATTGGGGAAAGTATCTCTTCCGTATGGTCCGTAAGTGATAGCTGCAACCTTTGCATTAGGAGCCATGGTAGATGCGCTCCAATTATCAGGAGCAAATTTGTGCAGGGCGAAGGTGTACACGTAGAGTTTCATGAATTCGGCGTTGGTTTCATTAAACAGACGAAGTTTGGAGTTCGTGCACGCATTAGTAATAAAAGCTTTGTTGTCTCCAGTTTCGGCTTGGGCATCCTCTTCAGGCGAGAAATATCTTATGCGACGAGGTTCACTCGTCGTATTTGGATTGATTGTTATTGTATCAAGAACCTGTTGTATAAAAGTTTTTGGATCTTGTGGATCATCGAAGGTGGAGATCAGAATTTTGGATTTACGCCAGTCTTTCCATTGTAAATACATTTCGGTGAAGTAGAGCTCGTAATCCCTGACTTGTCTCGATAATTCTGTGGCGAAAGGAGATTTCCAACCCCCAACTCCTCCAGTGTTACCGAATATTTCCTAAAGGAAACGCAAAAAATTTTTTTTACGTTCACACTTTTTCATGACGAAAGGATCAAGCATCACGACGAAGATTTAAATGACTAACCGTTTTACACGTACTCCTCTCCCGAAGCACGGCCAAATGTAAGAACGCAAAAGTAATCATTATAGGTAACAGTTGCACTGCATCACGTCTCGTGTTATCAGTCATCAATTTGTAGAAGCCATCACATAACTCAACCAATTTTTTCATAAACACCGATCGTACACCTTCTTTACAGTATGACTGTAGGTTTTGATGGATTTCGTGGAGTTGACTGGTTGCAAGAGCCTTACTAATCACGCCATGATCTGCTAAAGCTTTGGTGTCGCAGAGTGTGATGAGTTGAGTGAATATGTCGGGTTTCTGAGAATCTGAAGAGGATTGATCGTAATTGGGAGTGACGCCATTGGGGAAAAAGGTGTCAAGAAGTGTTGTAAGGAGTTCGCCGGCTTTTGTAGTCGGTTGCGAGATGGCATTGACGAACGTGGATATTCGTTCCTCCCATGATGCAATAATTTTTATTGGTTTTTCAACGGGTGGTGAAATTTCAGCAGGATGTGAAGTGGTATTGTTATTGGTAGTAGTGATTTCCATTGTGTAAATTGTTTATGTAATATTGGTAGTAGTCTAGTAGTCTCTAATAAATATTTCAAAGGCTTCGCTCCAGCTATAATCAATTTGATCAATACAGGATGACAAGACTTGTATTTGAGGAAAATAGGCTATGTCAAACAAAAATATCTAATTTATTCTTTTTAACCTTAAAAATGCATTTGCAATTTCAAATCCAGTTAGTTACCGTTGTGCGAAGTACGTCCATTATTTATAAAGTTCTGACCTACCATCAAAAAATACCCCTAAGAAAAATAACGCAAGTTATGCATCATTCATTTCTTCCTAATTCCGAAATATGCAAGGATGAGAAAATTAATCTTGGCGCCACGCAAGCCACGAACAAGAAAATCTATTGTAATTTCCTAGTAGAGTAACCGGTCGTGTAACATTTGCTCGCGTCATCGGTGAAACTAAATCTGGTTTTTTTTGCTACGGTATTACACTCTTCCCACGAGCACATATAATCAATACATTCTTTTTGGCAAGAAGTCATTCTTAAATTCTTTCTAGACAGAAGATATGACGAAAGAAAATAAATGACCCCTAAAAATTTCCAGTTGAGTAGACTATAATGACCTTCTGTTTTAGTTATAATAAATCTGGGTGATAAGCATTTCCTATTGAATCGTACATTTTCGGTTGCATTCTTTCACTTCTTCCTACTTAAAAAAAAAAGGAAATTTATTTGAACACGTGGACGTGCGCGAAGTGCACATGATGTATTCGTGAGCACATTTTTGGTATTAAAAGAATATCATGTAATACAAAGTGGCGTAATGTTTGGCAAATTTTTACCTATCACACTCGGTCGACATGTATGAAGTTATAGAGTTATGCAGGATCGTGAGTGTGCACCATTCAATTAATTGTTTTATTAAAAAAAAAAAAAAAATTCGAGTCCGACCTTGGCAGCGTTTCATGAGATAAAGTTTTGTGAACCACTTACACAGTTGTATGTATATCCTTTATAAAAGTTGGAATTTTCGACTCATGTTGATTCGTTCCTCTTTTGTCGATTTGTGATCACAAATAAAAAACAAATTTCCATCTCTATATTAATTACCATATGTATATAAACATTCTAAAACTTTACCTCGAAACATTAAATACCATTTTCAAAATCACTCGCAATTTTTCAAACTGAAATGGAAGAAAAAAAAGAAAAGATCTCTATCCCATGGGAAGATTGCATTCTTTCGTTTATCGAAACCATCTCTCAAATCTCGCTCAAACCCACTTCTTATCTTTCCAATTTGTATACCACTTACTTTCCTTCTGACGACAAAGATATTTTCACAAAATTACAAGATCAATGCGATGATTTCTTTAAACCGGGAATAATCGAAAAAGAACTTAAAAATAGTGTAATAAGTAAAATTAAACAAAATTTAAAAAA